TTCTATTTTGGTAATTTTTATGACGATCAATTTTGTACCAATCAAAATTAATAATTATGTGATATTTCAAAAATGATCATCACAAAATTCAACCAATAAAATCGCAAATAAGTTAAATGTCCATTATGCTCGTGATTGATAAATTTTGGATAAATACTAAATATCGATCTAAGTTGAATCTTTCAAATATGTTGTCAGAAGTCGCCACTCCACAATTTCAAATCCATACCTACAGTCATTTATTTCAATCACAACAGATACATTTTCAACTTACAATACTTAAAGATTCCGTATTTATATGGGTTGGTACTGAAGGGAACGAAATATTAGGAGACTTGGCGATTATTATGCCTCCACTTTTACGAAACAAAGGTTCTACCGGAACAACCGTATTAAAAAATGATGTGGAGGAAATTTCTAAGCAGTTTGGACAGAAACTTGGTAATGTATTCAACGATTTAATAAATTATTGTTATTTTGAACTTTATTTTGCAAGTTACTAAAGTATATCAATTATTCGTTTCATCTATCTTAAGCTACTAAATTTAATAAGCAATTCTTCGTCAGCATCAATTTACCACCAAATACGGATGAAATGATGCGTTCTTTTGCCGAGAAGTCCGTTCTTGACATATTAAAGAACTTCTTTTCATAATTTGCTTTAAATTAAAATTTTCTTGAATAATTGTTTATGTCTTGCTTAATAATACTTAAACGTTTTCTTTAAAATATCTGAAAATATTTTAATTAACTGGGTTTTTTCCTGATATTCCTTGTTTTGACTTTTCCTGCAAATTTTCTTTTCTTGAAAGTAACTTTACTAGAATCTTCATCCTTTATAGAATCTTCGGGTATTTGATTATCCAATGGAAATGTTTTCTCAACCACTTTAAAATTCCTCAGATCATCTGGATCTTCTTCATCCTCATCATCCTCCTGAGGAATTGTCTCTTGAGATTTTGATTCATTATCAACTTGACTCTTTTGAGGAACAGGTGGTGGAGTCACAGGTCTCCACTCTCCAATCACTACCTCAGTACCATCACCCGAACCAGATTTTTTATTTAATTCTGTTGGATCAAATGAATCTGCTGGTGGTATATACGAAGAAGATTCTGCACCTGAACTTGCGTATATCATATCATGTTCACTAAGCGAACTTTTACCAGGTGGTGCTTTTGTGTTACTTTTAGACGTAAATGTTGCCATTGAAGCCCCCGGTGCTTCAAGTATGATATCTTTTTTATATTGTTTCATTGCCGCCTAAAATTTTCGTGTCAAAGAAATTAATTTAATAAAATATAAATTTATTTAAGTAATATTGGAAATTCATTACCCTTTCAATCCTATCTAATTCTCGTTTGGTTTTTTCATCTTCCTTTCGATTTTCATGATCTCTACGACGAATGTCACGTAAAAATTTTTCAACATTTTCTTTATGTTTTTTACCTTGTTCATGCATTGTACGGCTCTATTAATAATAAAATCATTTTTATAATAACCTTCTAAGTTCATGAACTAAACGTCAAATCGAAAAAATCCTTACGGGTTTATTATCCGCAATATAAATGCGGCAATATTGACACCAATGCTTTTGTTGTGATATCCAATAATCTGACCTAAAAAATCATTTGTTAAATAAAAGAAGTATAAATTAACCTAAATTTTTCATGTATCAAAGCCCTTTTTTTTTCCATTAATTCGAATTTATAACTAACATTTTTGCAATCAAATTTCTTAGAACAAATGGAGATTGTTGAGAAAATTTTTCTGAAATACTTTGTGAATCAAAATCCAAATGTAGTGTAAACATAAAAATGTAGATTTTTTTGCCGGGTCACATTTACTTAATTAGGAGTGACATATTATTGTTGAACAATTTAACAAATCTCTCATATTAAATACCCGGAAAATAAATCCGGCTAACATTTTTTCCGGGACATCAAATCTATTTATAAGAAACATATAGAAGTGATACAGATATGTTAGTAAAATGTAATATTATACTTAGATATATTTGGATTTGAAAATATCAACAGAAATATTAATAAAAAATTGAAAAGAAAACAAATTGCTAAAAAATAAGGAAAAGGAAAAAGATCAAAAAAGAATATATAATAAATGGATAAGAGATCAATTATCAATAATGCATTTTACTATACTCTCTCTTTCTTTCACATATTAAAATTAAATAATTAAATGGAAGGTTTGCTATTAAATTATGATTCACTATGATTTTAATAGTAAAAGGTACAAATAATAAGCTATAATCCAAATAAACATTATCCTTCAAAACTTAATAAGTTTTAGTTTTAAATTTAATTATTTACAGCATTTATAACTCAAAATCCAAATGATTATTCTTATTTTATACTAGAATAACAATAATTTACCATTTTCTATAAAATTAGTAATCAATCAATAACCATTATTCCAAAAGTATAAATAAAATATACATTTCTTTTTATTCAAAGTGAATTTCTTTTTATTATAAAATAATTTTATACAATCAGATTTAAATATTTAGTCAAACTTCTCTACAATCATATCATTTAGAATTACTTAATATATAAATACTTGCTAAAACCTTTTCAAAATAATTTTATTATACTTTTTATTATGTTTTTAATATAGTTTTGACAGATTAACTTTCATTATATCAGAAGGATTTTATCATATTCCTTATTATAATTTTAATATAGTTTCATCTGAGTTTATACTGTTATTAGAGATTTCATTTTTCACTTATAATCTAAAAGTATGATTATATAAAAATGTACTTATATATATGATTATATAGATGCTTTGTAATAAAAAGAATAAAAAGGAAAGAAACTACCAAAAAATTTTTTTACTTTATTAATCTAGAATAAAATGTAAGACTATATATGTACAGGGTTTAAGGTTATACATATATCTATCTGTCAGCCTGTTCAATTATTAAGTCGATGTTGATTGGCTTTTGCAATTACACAAAAGTTTAAATAAAAGATAATCAATCTTATTTAATTTGTGAAACAATTGAAAATTTGGTCATAAAGTTATTTTTTATCCTAAATTTTATTGTGAATTCAATTTTATTGAGATTTATTGAAGAAATGTAAAATGATATATAAGAAAAATTGTGATTATTCTTAATGAGATTTGTAAAAGATTTTATCAAAAGCATTAGATTTAATTTCTTTAAAACAAATTCAAAGTTATGTACAAAATTCTTTTAGATATATAGATGCTTATAGAAAAGGATTTAATGCCAAATAAGTAAAATATGTATTTAAAAAATAAAAAGATATTGTATTATTTCTCAATTAATTTTTGAAGAATTTTCTTAAATTTAATAAAGTATAAATATTAATCATATGATCTATATATTAATTTATAAATTTGGCACTTTTAGTCACATAATTTTATATATTTATATATAATTTATAAATTTGATACTAAAAAAAAATTTACTGTGACTAGAAGATATGAGCTAATAGCTTTCTTTAACTATTTGTAATAGTCTTAGATCTAACTAAATCTTATACTTTTATTACATATTTAATTACTTTTTTTATTATAATTTTAAATATAGATTAATTAGTTTCTTTGACTATTATTAAATACTTTAATATGTTTGTAAAAATAACCTTCAGTATTATGTCTATATTTATTTATTTTATTTATAAATTAAATTTTTTTTATTGTTATAATATAAAATTTTTTAAGATTTTTTACACTTTAAATTATAAATAATTTTAACATTATATAGTTAAAAGTATGAAATTATATTAGAAAGTATTTGGTGAAAAAATATATTAGAAAGTATAATATCTTCATTTAACTTATAAGTAAATATACTATTATAAAATAAGATTGTATATATATTTTAAAGTTTAAATATAAATTAAAGAACTTTAACCAATTATTTTAATATTAACTTATATCATATGAGGCCTTTGCAATAGAAAGGGAGGAAACTCAAAAAAAAATAAAAAATGAGTTAATAATAAATCTGAACAAAT